CAGGACATTCGGTGGATCAGACCGCACCATTGGCATACTAGGGGGCTAGTACTTCATTAATAAAGTTATTTTGTCAGTGGCTCTTCTGGAACCGCTATGGGGGGTAAAGGGTTAACAAACAAGCAACAGGCGTAAAATTTTTAATGATATTCTCGTGCCATCACGTGCCAGTTTTTATGAAACTCCAGATCATACCCTCTTTACACAATTGTACTCTGTATGTAATAGAAAAATACAAAGGCTAAGAAATGATGAGAAAAGGTATGTTCTACCATAAGATAGAAAAACATATGCAAATGCAAAAAAGCAGAACAAGCAACAGACGTATTCAATTGGAAAAACAACTCGTGTGTGTGATGTAAAAAGTAACGGATTCTGAAACTTTGCGAATCAAGAACAGATATTGCAGTGCCAAATGATCCTTGTACGGTACATCTCCTATATTATTATATAATTATTTTTTAAGTAACTTGTATTGGTGGACAACGAATTAGATAATCCACTGATTGCGCATAAATCTGTATCAGATAATTGTTGCAGAAAACCAAACATTACGAAAAATATCCAGTTTTATTTTAGCAGATTTATAAGATAATACATAATTAGTATGTATTATCTGCTGTTTGAAATTATACTAGTAAAAAATTTAGAGTTCGCTTTGTACACGTGCCAAACGATGAGATGAAATTAAGAGAGTAGGGAACATTTATTGGGTGATGGTACGTTTTATCGGAGAGTTACGCCAGGGAGTTTCTAATATCCCGTCTTTCATCACACTCATAAGAGTGGCCATTTCAGATATGTTCCGTACTACAGCACAAAACGGAAAAGCATACATTTTTTTTGTGAAATGTATGATTTATTATACTAATTAAAAGCTTTCAATTTTAGGTGCAGAATTTCTCGATACACCGAACATGAGAAAGACATTACGATCAAGAAAGGGCTTCGCGTATCTTCCTGTCAGCATTTCTAGTGTGCTTCATACCATTTGCTAAAGCTTTTTCTGCTGCATATAAAATATGGCAGGAAGTCGTTTTGTTACTAAAACTACTTTAATCAGAACATAAATACTAAAATATATTGTTTCTACATTTTCTCTACTGAACTCTATTAATAGAGAGTGTTAGTATTGGAATTGAGAATATTGTGGATGATTAGAAAGGTATTCTGCAAATTGGTTTGAGGAAACGTATCCTTGACCATTGTCCAGTTGAGACCATGCATCATAAGGATCAACGTTTGTCCCATAAAAGTCATTCATACGAGAAAACACGTGTTGGCCATATTCTGGTGTTATGTAACCTTGGCTTGCATTCGGATTATGTTGATCAATTAAGAAACTCACGCGATCGTACGGATTCGATTGCTGATTGAGCATGATAACTGCCGAAACGAATTCTTCGAAGTTAAGTCTGCCGCTGTTATCGCGATCAAATGCTCGAAAAACCTGATCGATAGCACGATGGCTTGCATTACCCTGACCCAGTTCTTCGTAAAAATCACGAAATTCGGATTTACTTATTTGACCATCTCGACCAGCTTCTTCTTGAAATCGTTGATACAACTGTACAAGTTGTTGCTGAGGCAAACCAGTTGCTTGTTGGAGTCGTTGTAAATCCCATGTGTCGAATGTGTTACGTTGACTACGATTACCCATTGTCGTTTTTAGTTAATATTTGTGTAGAATACTTTAGAGGAATACAAGACTACTGAAAAATATGATGTTTTTATACACCTAATAACTAATCATTCATGGACGTATATATGGTCGTTCGCAAACATAGGTTTTTTTTATCAACGCTCGACAATAGAATTACATATTCTACATGTCCTTTGCGATCCTAGTCACCCCTCTTCTATTTAATCTGAAATTTCTGGACCATAACAATGTATTGATCAGCCCATACGCTTTTTTCTTTTTCTAATGAAAAATCCTATGTTTGTGAACGGGCATATATACGTCCATGAATGATTAGTTATTAGGTGTATAAAGCATTGTATTTTTCAGTAGTTTTCTACTCTTCTAAAATATTCTACACAAATATTAAGTAAAAAAACGATGAGTAATCATAATCGATGTGGTGCTTTAACAATACAACATATTTCACAGGTTCTTGATGATACATGTCATTTTTTCTAATATATGATCAAAAATCATGACTTATAACGTGTATCCACCGTTGCTAATCACAGCACAGGTGCTTTTCTATGCTTTACTTTGTAGATTGCAGAAATAACTGATGAATATTAAGCACACTCACAATGCTTACTGAGGGAAGCAATCCTTTCATAGTATATCATATTCGATGTGTCGAACGATACTAATTCTAACTTGCAACGTTTTCTGGATTTAGGATGACAAAAAAATCATCAAATAACTAATCGTATCAAGTTCATAAGCACTTCGTACGTTTTTCATCAAGTTTATAAAAACTAGGACTTCCCGGGTGTTCAAAGATTAATAACATAAATCACTAAACATATATATTCATGATCTGACAGCTTAGTGACGTATGGCTCTTCTGTGCAAGGCTGGGCGAGTCCGAGTCATGACTCAAACTGGAGTCGACTCGAGTCACATTTCTTTAAAGGCCCTGACTTGACTCAGACTCGAAAATTGGGTGATGTTGACTGAACTGTTTGACTCGAGTCATTCATTCAAAAAAAATGTCATTTGTTCTTATAAAAAAGTTACAGTTTTACAAGAAAAAATTTTCACTTATTTATAACTTTCGTCCTAAATGAATATACTGCATCTAAACGATTTTTTCAAGAGCTTTTTTCTACCTATGTCTTCATATGGTCGTAAATAACCCATGTGTATTATATGTCTGCATATTGAATATATATGTTTTGTCCCGTTCTATTCTTTTTCGGTTCATCTTTCAATAGTGTGTGCACGTGTATATGATAAAAGTAAGCAGACAACGAAAACATGGCAAAAATAACCTGACTCGACTCGAAAATACTGGTGACTGGACTTTACTCGAAACCGCTACGAAATAACTCGGACTCGACTCGAAAAGTGGCTTGACTCTCCCAGCCCAGCTTCTGTGTCCTATTAATAAAAGGTAAGGTGCAGCTAATGCAAAATTCGAGTGGGTTTTATTTTTCAATTTGTCATACATATTCTGATTCGTCTTGTTCAGCTGATCATGAATATCACCTTTAAAATATTTAAAAGTCCTTTTTTCATGG